CAGACTACGGGAGCCATTCGCGCTTCAATTTGAGATCCAGACATCACAGACTCATCCCCAACAGCCTCCGCCTGTCTTCCACAGGGAAGGGACCCCGGGCAGAAAAACATCCTGCAGAAAGCACAGCTCCACAACACGGTCCTTTCAGCAGTCCCAGGAAGGCTCCACACCCATTTGCACCACTCAGGGGACCCTGAGGACAGAGATTAAACCTCCAGGTGGCCTCCATGACTCTCTCAAAGAAGGCAAATGACCAGCTGTCTGGAAGGAGTATAAATCCTTCTATTCCCCACCATCCAGTCAGAGCGGAAGAAGCTTCTTGGGTGAGAAGCGAAACGTCTTCAAAGGAAAAACAAGAAAGTCCAGTTGCCTTGTGAAAAAGCATCTTTTGGGACAACCACAACCTGGATGGCTGAGAATCTCCATAGACGTCTTTTTAAGTTTTACAAGTTAATCCTCAGCTTATCCACCCATTTAGCAACCGTTTGAGGTTACGACAGCACTGAAGAAAAGGGACTTACAACCAGTCCTAGCACTTATGACCATCGCAGGATTCCCCATGGTCACATGATAAAAGCGATTCATTTAATGACCGTTTTGAAGTTACAACGGCAATGAAAATTGTGACAGCGCACTTACAACTGTGGCACAAATTCAGGCGGTCAGCAAACAACATGGATTTATGCTGATTTAACATTGCTTTAATTGAACAAAGGCTAAAGAGAAGATCTGAGATAATAAAGCTTTTATAAGCTTATTAATAAGCTGGGCAGGAAAAGAAGAACAAAAATAGGGACAAGGCAAAATCTTCCAGCCACTGGATCAAAATGTGATTTGCTTAATCGTGCTTCTTCCGCCAAACTACCATTGGCTGGGGTGGTGAGGCCCAAATTGTAAAATACAGTTGACAGAACACAACATGACATGGTAGCAGTGATCCAGTATCTCAGGGGCTGCCCCAAAGAAGAGGGAGTCAAGCTGTCCTCCAAGCACCTGAAGGCAGGACAAGAAGCAACGGTTGAAAACTAATCAAGGAGAGAAGCAACCTAGAACAGTGATGGCGAACCTTTTAGAGACCGAGTGCCCAAACTGCAACCCAAAACCCACTTATGCATCGTCGGGTGCCGGGTGGGCGTGGCCCATTGGGTGGGCGTGGCTGCGGTGGTAACGGCAGACTGGGTGGGACTAAAAAGTTCAATCAATCAATTCCAACTTTGCAAAATCTTTTTCTTTCCCGCGAGAAGTTGAAATTGACTGATTGATTGAACCTTTTTTTTTTGTACACAGTGGCGGAGGCCTAAAGCGAAAAGGTTTTATAAAACCCAGCTGAAGGCCTAGGACTGGGGCGACGGCGCACGTGCCACAGAGAGGGCTCTGAGTGCCGCCTCTGGCACCCGTGCCATAGGTTTGCCACCACTGACCTAGAACTAAGGAGAAACTTCCTGACAGTTAGAACAATTAGCCAGTGGAACCACCTGCCTCCAGAAGCAGTGAATGCTCCAACACTGGAAGTCTTTAAGAAGAGACTGGACGGCCATTTGTCCAAAATGGTGTAGGGTTTGCTGCCTGAGCAGGGGGTTGGACTAGATGACCTCCAAGGTCCCTTCCAACTTTACTATTATTATTAAGCTGGATTTTCAGAACATAGGAAAGCTGGCACAATATGTTATGTTTAGTCTGGCATACAGGCAGTCCTCAACTTACGAGCACAACTGAGGCCAGAATTTATGTGACTGAGAAATTTGTAAAGTGAGTTTTACGACTTTTCTTGCTACATTTGTCAAGCGAATCCCTGCAGTTGTCAAATTAGTAATGCGGGTTGTTAACTGGCCCTGGATTCCTCATTGATTTTGCTTGTCAAAGGGTGGCAAAAGGAGATCACATGACCCCAGGACACAGCAACTGTCAGAAATACAAGACTGTTGTCTAGTATCTGAATATCGATCATAAGACATGGGAGTGCTGCAACGGTCGTTAAGTGTGAAAAATGGCTGTGTCACTTTTTTTTAATTGGCGTTAAAACTTTGAAAGGTCACTAAACGAACTGTTGTAAGTCAAGGACTATCTGTATCCGCTTCAGCAATAGTGTAAATTTTTAGTTTGTTGAAAAACTCCCCTTGGAAGGGCTCTCCAAATTACAATCTAGGTCAGGGGTAGGCAACCTCAGCCCTTTTATGACTTATGGACTTCAACTCCCAGAATTCCTGAGCCGGCATGGCTCAGCATGGAAACTCTCCCTTTCTCCTCAGCATGGCTGGCTCAGGAATTCTGGGAGTTGAAGTCCACGAGTCAT